GATTGGTTACATGACCAACCTGTTCACCCCAAAAGTCAGAGTATGCAGGAAAGGTGCCAACCCAACCCAGTTATAACTTGTAAGTTACAACTGAATTTATAGGTGATAGATTCCTGAAGTTTAATTATTTAAAAAAAAAAGAAAAAGAACTCGTACAATGTCTGGCTGGACGTAGCAGCCTGTTAGTCGGTCGGTCGATTGCTTACATGACCAACCGGTTCACCCCAAAAGTCAGAGTATGCAGGAAAGGTGCCAACCCAACCCAGTTATAACTGAATTTATAGGTGATAGATTCCTGAAGCTTACATCTGCATGGTATGTTTGGGAATGAGGCATAGGAACCTCAAAAGGGGTGATTTCATGGGTTGGCCCGCCACATCGCTGCTAAATGAAGTGGGGGCAGATCTGTCTATTGGTTGAGAACCATGAGACAATAAATGGTTGTAGAACTAAGCTGTACAGTGTCCGTCAAGACAGTTGCGCATCACTTGGGCGGCATATATCTGTCTATTTCTTAAGAACTGTGAGACAGAAATCGTATGACTAAGCTGTACAGTGTCCAGTCACTTACAAATAACTTAAGTCTCCAAGTGCTGCCAGATTGACATCACACAGCGAAAGAAACAGCTAAAAGATCTGTGAAATGAAGGGGAAAAAAAAAACGCCATCACTCCAGGTCCGTTACTTGCAGACCAGTCGACGTGAAGATGCGATGCCTCCTGTACAGTCTCACCTCCCTCCCTCTCCCCTCCTCCCCAACCACCATCACCACACCTTCCGCAGCCAACCGTTCACACAGACCAGCTCGAAGCCGACAACTGCACTCATCTGCCGACATCCGTTAACCATGGCGAGAGGTAGCCATCTTGAAACTGAACTTCTTGTTGAAGTCAACGGTGTTGAAGAACTCAAACCTTGCTGAGCCGCTGAAGTTATCTTTGCTGATGTAAAGTTGTAAATGTTGCTCTTAACCTTGCTGAGGCTATGTCACTAACTCTGTGTTACAGTTAACTTTGGACTCCCTGGAGTCCATTTTATGAATTTAACCTTGGTGAAGTTAACCTTGGTAAAAGTTAACCTTTGTAAAGTTAACCTTTGTAAAGTTAACCTTTGTCGTAAAGTCAACCTTGGTAAAGTTAACCTTGGTAAAGTTAACCTTGGTGAAATTAACCTTGGTAAAGTTAACCTTGGTAAAGTTAACCTTGGTAAAGTTAACTGTCTTGCAGTTCACCAATGGACAAAGTCAATTGAATTAGAGTCTGAAGGTAACCTAACAGCTAGACTGGGTTTCGGAAAAGAAAAGAAAAAAATGAAAAAAAAAAGTAAACTTCAATTCAGCCCCTTGTCAAGCTTAACTGTCTTTGAGTTAAGCATGGTCGGCATTTACTACAAAGGAGTTAAGTTAACCCATGTTTAATTTTGTTCAAAAGAAAAGTTAGTGAACCACATTTTTTTTACAGTTCGTTGACTCAGAGAGTCAGAGAGAGTCAGTTATCATCAGGAATATACATATCGTCGGTGCAGATATCTTTCCTTCCCTCATGTAGAACAATGGGAGTCGTTTTTCGCGACAGAGCTAGGGTCCCTTCTTGTCAAGCTTCTTGCAACCCTCGGCACTCCACTTGGTCCATTTGCAATTTGCGGACATGCAATTGCAGGTGCAGATGAAGAGATGGCTGCATCCTGCAAGGCAACTGGTACGTATGACAACAGTACACCCGTTCATACAATCACTCAGTTGACGGTCGATCTGCATGCATGGATCGGCATGGACATTGTCTGCTGGACACAGCTCAGAATATTATGCAGCGCCGAGCTGGGAAGCCTCCTGTGCACCAGAGAGACTAAGTCTTGCAGTCGTATTCATCAGAGGAGTGAGTGGATGGAGGGTTTCCTTGGACCATGTGTTCTGTGTGCAACAGACTTGCAGTCATGCTCACAGAGAGCAAGCGAGTGGATACTGGCTTTCCTTGCGACCATTGCCTGAAGCGCACCAAGTCAAAGACGGCGAAAAGGCCATAGATGAGCTGACGGTGTGATGAACTTCGGGCCCAAGTGGCCGCGGCCCAAGGCCATTGCTCAAGTTGCTGCCGATAGGTAGAGAAGACTACTTAGTACCAGCTGTTTACCGCGCACCAAGCCAGTGAAGCATGACCGTAGTGTGAGCCAACTGGTCGGCGCATGAACCAAGTTGGTACATGTTTGAGGCTCTCGACCGTGCCCAAGGATTTCAAGAGTTGGTTGCAACCCTGTACGGCATGAAGGTGAAAAACACGGAGCCCGTGCGTAGGGGGCCTGAGCAAAAGGCAAATGAAATGCGACGAAGAAATACTAAGCCTAGGACAGCGGGCACCTTTTGTTGACGCTCTTTAACCCATCGTCATCGTGGCACAAGTGAGAAAACATCGTCCCAGAGAGAAAGAAGAGACCATCGACCCAGAGCGAAAGAGGGCCCAGAGGCCAAATGGTGTGCCTGGGCAGCGCTGGCAATCCCAACAGAAGATCCCCATTCCCACCGTATGCACCAGTGTGGGAAACGGGCAAGGAGAAGGAAAATGACTTGGTGATAGAATTTCGTACCGCCTGGGTCCCAATGAGAACAGCGGGGAGGGTATCTGAGGTCCCCATACATAAGTCAAGATAGACACAGAAGCATTATGAGCATGCCTCGAGAGACGCCAGGGAGTGGAAGTCGTTACGGACGTGGCGATGGAGATGCTAACCGGAGCCGTCCGTGGACTAATTGGCGATGCTGAATGACACACATGAGGACCAAGTGCATCCGGAGTCAGCGAGCACAATACATCACCGTCAACTCACCATCAGTTCGCGCCGACGCTGCTGCGTTGGAGCCTGGGTGAATATAGCTGTGCTCAGTGCATTGGGACTTAGCTTGTAACACCTTCCTTGATCGGAGACCAGCGCTCGCCATTCTCATGAGCTCTGGTCAGACAGCAGGCGGCGGTTCTCTCTGTCGATCCCTCCTTGCAGTTTGCTGAAGTCAGAGTTGTCTCTGTAAGTGTCTGCTGTGCGAATAAAGTCGATAGACTTACGATTGCCGGCAGAACTGAAAACCCGCCTTCTTTTGTGAGCGTGTAACCACCAGTACATGGCCCCTGGCAAATAGAGAACCTGTTTTTTTTTAGCCTCTCCTAACATTTAGGAGGCCGAGCGCCGTAGATAAAATGAATCGGCGGTGCGGGGCGGCCTCTCCGAAAGGGGCCCGCGGCCGATGGCTGGCATGTGCTGGGGCTTTAAAGTCAGGGGTTGACATTGTCAACCACGTCGTTCCCAAGGTTTAGGGCCTGTCATATTCCCTCTTGGCCCTCGCCGCGATCCTCGTTTGCCTGGCGTTTGCCCCCCCTTATCGGCCCCGCGCCAGGTCCCTGATGTGCGGAAAGAACTTCTGCCCCCTTCCATAATATCCCAATCGCTGCTGTCATAGCCAGGATCCTCATGCCAATTGAATCCCTGTTCGCGTAATGCCTTCCGATGCTCGGCAATTGCATCCTTGTCTGGCACATACCCTGCATCATTCACCACAGAGTGTTCACCACCACAGAGTGTTCACCACCAGAATATACCACATTTTGCAGATGCCTCAATCCAAAGCAGCAAAAGCCTTAAAAAAAGCGTTGCCCGGACCGAAAGAAGGAGACAAGGAAGGGAGGAAATGAAACAGAAATACTTAGACATGGTCTGGGCACTTATGAGAGGGACAAAGAAGCACAGAAAATCAGCGATGAGCAACTTGGACGACACTACTTTGGTTGATACTAGTACTTGACACACTAGAAAACTGACACCGAGTCACAGACAGAAATTGCTGCATGTCTTGAGCTGTTTGCACTCTGCACTAGAAAGGTTGGACTTTTCTTTGTTGTTATTTCTTGGCCTCGAGGCAGGGCGAACTGTCCACCCCTGGTAGAGAGATGCCAGCAGTGGCAGAGACAGAGACAGATGATGCTCAGCAGAGCAGGGGAATAGCCAGAAGACGAGGAGCAAGGTGGAGGAGGATGTCTCCCTGGCTTAATCTTTTCCAGCAGCAACTCTGCTGGTTTTGTTGTCGCCATCCACTGGCTTGGTTCTCACCAAGACATGATTTGAATAGGTCTCGAGTTATAATGTTTCCCCAAAAAGAAAGGGGAGCAATGAAAAAGTGTGGCATAAGTGCCTTTTAAGTTTTAACTGCTTGGTTGTTCTACGCTATTTTATTTATTTATTTATCTCCGTTTTTAAAAGGGAGACAGCCTTGAGATATCATCTCTCATCCACCAGCCTAGATCAGCTGGTATGGCATGCAAGTGGCATTCAGGAGGTCATGGGTTCAATCCCCGTCCTGGGCAAGCTTGGTGCCGCCCGCCGCCTAGAGATAGGCCGTTGGTCCCCCCGAGAGGCATTGAGCAGAGACTGCTGATGTTTGTAGGGGGAGGAGACCGGAGGGGAGGGACAGCGACTGACCCATTGAATTGGTCGGGCCCCAGAGAGGCATTGAGCAGAGACTGCTGATGTTCGTAGGGGGAGTGGACGGGAGGGGAGGCACAGTGACTGGTCCATTGAATTGGTCGGGCTTTCAGACTGAGCAGCCCCAGGTAAGTTCTGAGTCATTTCACTCATCTGAGTAGATCGAGATTTGAACTGAGGTCTGTGTTTCAACAATCCATGGGTGTACCAACTGATAGGCCAGGTGGTTACGCTATTTATCGTGTTTCAATGCGAGTTCTTCTCCTTTGTGGTCAGCTATATATTCAATTGTGTGGCCATACCTCTGAAACTCCTAATGCAGGAGAGTAGCAAAGAAAGAACCTTTACATCCCCTGAACACAATACAGTTGCAAGTTGCAACTTGCAAGACAGCGCAAACTGAGCAAAACCGTAGGGACGGGTAAGAGGGGAAATTAAAATTCTGGTTGCTGATGTGTGAAGTCACATCTTTTGCATCGGATCGACTCACCAATTCTGTCAGCCCAGTGATATGTTGCATCTTCGCCATATTCTGCCATTCTGTCCATTTGGCCAGATTGCGATCGAAGCGGCACCGCAGCCATGAAGAGGTTTGAGCCTTCATTCCCTCTTGTAACCGTCCACCAGCCGACGGAACCAACTCTTGGCGAGCCAACAACACCTTCCACAACTTGTCCGGCCGAACTTCCATCCATCTTTCCGTAGCCGCAGCTGTCATATAGTTGACGTTCGACCACAACTTCGAAGTCAGAGTTCCTTGAGCGAGTCTGCACGAGCACGAAAGCACGACAAATTCTTTGTATCATCAGCGATATACACTAACGACAGAAAATTGCAAATCATTAAGAAAAAACGAACAAACAAAACAAAAAACAAACAAAACAAAAAACAAAAAACAAAACAGAAATTTCATCTAGAGGGATCTAACAATCATGGAATCATGGTGCCACCTTGAGGTGACTCCTCCGGGTCCTCGCAATCTATCTGACCTCCCAATGGATGAAGTACTACAGCCCTACTAGCACCTCCTGAGGCCTGGCATCCAGCCTCAACTACACACTGGACCTGTTCCAAAAAAAAAAATCAAAAAAAATCCCGAAGGCGTCCTTCGGAACATCCGTTCAAATTGGAATGGTACAGAGACCGAAGATTAGCATGGCCCCTGCACAAGGATGACATGCGTAAATCGAGAAAAAATTCCCGAGGGCCGAGCTTCAAGGGTAGTCCCAAGGAAAGTACCAATGCAGAACCAAATATGGCAAGTTACCCTAGACTAGGAATACCTCAGGTGGGACTCTAAGCAGGTTCAAGCGGCCGGGTACAGCGAAAGCGGTCCATGGTGGCCGGGAACTTCCTATCGCTGTCACTACTGAACCAGAGGCTGATCAGGAGGCATTTAAGGAGACCCCCGTAACTCCTCAAGAATTCTTTAACGTCGCGGACAGGACGACGTGATCAGCTTGGTTCTGCCTGTGCTTTCAGCCCACAACTCAGCCTTTCCAGCCTACTGTGCCACACCGAGCAGCCCGCCGGTCTGTACCGGTCCTTGGGAGGGTTCGTATCCCCCGGGACAGTCGAGTCGTCAGACACAGATCATCAGCCTTACTTGGTCTGGTAGGGGAGTGGTTCCAACAGGCCCTCAACACTTAAAGACAGCCTCCGTTTCAGCCTGCAGCTCAGAGTTCGGACCCTCTACACTCTGTGGAAACATGCTAGGATATCAAGGCTGGTATCTATGCTCCCCCCTGAGGGGAAGGCGAGGCCTGGGTAAGATGATCCATTCAGATAACCAAACGGCTGAGTTACAATGGACCTTGCAAGTCTGAGTCCAACCTCTACGACAACCTGGGCGTTAAAAAAAAAAAAAAAAAAAAAAAAAATCATCCACAGCTTCTACACACCATATCAGGTCATAAGGTGTGAAACTTTGAAGTTTCATAAGAGCCTGATGGTCTACCTCCCACCCACCAATCACCATAATACCACAGCTAAGGGCCTCGCTCCACCACTCACCGCAGGGCCACAGGCACGTTTTGGTGACTAATGCTGTCCCCCCTCCACCACTCACCATGGCGAGCTTGTCAGAAGTTTTGTTTTGGTGGTGAGTCAGCATGGTGAATCAGCGTGGTGAGTAAACGTGGTGAGTCAGCGTGGTGAGTCAGCGTGGAGAGCCTTTTTTTTTTGCCGTTTGCGACGGTGATGTTGTGATGCCTCCTTTCCGACACCCACTAAAAATGGCGAGTAAGCTCACTGTCGGGGCCGGTCCTAGCCAGCCCCAGCCTTATCTTGTACCACTTGCCGGTCTGGCGAGTGCTCAATTGAGGTGAGTGGTGGAGCGAGGCTAGGTTCTCAGCGTAAAATGTCCCGTGGTGAGTACTCGCCACGGGAAATGAGAAATTCAATGCGGTGACTACTGGAGTGTGTTTGCGGCACCCATACAGCATCTACATATTTTGTCCATCAAACCAGAGCAGTTGTGCACCAAGCAGAGGGAAACACATTCAGTGTCCTGTTCAGACTGTTTCTTGTAGTCCTTTCTTTTTTTTCCAAAGAATTTGGACCATTTCTCAGTTTATGTGCGTCATCCTTGAGGCCGATTATTCAAGAGTGCGACCTGGGCTTGCAGGGGCTGTGCTAATGTAGCGCTCCAATTTCAATGGATGTCCGGAACGATTTTTTTTTTGAAAGCACTCTTGCGAGGCATCTATCCCAGTGGCAATAAGGGAACCACCGGGATTGAGGCTTCGGCTGTCGGACTGCTCCATCTATTGGTGGGGAGCGGCACCTGCTGGAAACCGGGTCCAGCATCCCAAAGATACAATTTTTCGGTGAAATTTCAGGCTATAACCATTTGTCCTTCAAGTCTAGAGCCCCTGTCTCCCACGGGGCTGCTGCTAGTCTCAATCCCATCCCTAGACTCCTTCTTATCATCTGACCCTGCGTGCACCTAGAAGTTACCTGTAATTCTTTCTTGTCCTAACACTCCCCCCTAGCATTGCTACTAGACCGTTACTACTCCCACGGGGCTGCTGCTAGTCTCAATCCCATCTCTGGCGGCCTCCACGCTGTGAAGGCTGCCTGTGTTCTTTGGCATGTTTAACAAATAACTGCTGAGGACTATACACATGGGCCAATTCATGCTGGTCCATGTGTCTTTATGCCTACCTCCCACCTACATTACTGCTTTTACTGTTTAGTAATCTCTCTCTCTCTCTCTCTCTCTCTCTCTCTCTCTCTCTCTCTCTCTCTCTCTCTCTCTCTCTCTCTCTCTCTCTCTCTCTCTCCAAAAACGTCCATGCCAGCAGGGGTTTCACTTAACGAGGTGGTACGGGCATCCTCCCTAAACCACCAGTACCTACCGGGTTCTTAGGCCCGCTCGGAATACAGACCTGCACGGTAGGACGATTTATCCACCGCGTTAACGCCTAAATACGTGGTAGGTACCGGTGGTTTAAGTGGTTCCTTGCGTTGAAGGCTCCCTCTATTGGTGGGGAGCAGCACCTGCTGGAAACTGGGTCCAGCATCCCATCTGGATACAATGATGACACAATAATAGTCCACGACCCTTGCTTACAGACGGTGAACTAAATCACTTTTGAGCTCAAAATAACGGATACTCTGCCAACTGCCAAAAAAATCTATCTCGACTCCGCGGCCCTGTTATCGTTGCCACTGTCTTTTCCGTTTCTTTTCCATATATGCCTCCCTTTATAGTCCCTGTCTCTCCTCCCTGGGGCAGTTTCGAACTCCGTCTTTGCCAGCAGCGGTAGTGAAAATCAGGCTGCTTTCGCTTACGCCTCACTCCTAGTCCCGGATCCTGTACGCCGCACAAGTCCCATAGATATGTGGATCTAATCTCCATCCACATTTGCTGATTATAAGGCCCCTGTACAGGCCCTGCAGACCCCCTTGTTGCACGATGATATGTCGTCCCGTTGAAGGCTCTGAGTTGTGCCAGTCCTTCCAGCTGATGCGTAGCCCTTGGAGAAACACCACCTTTCCCTTAGCACGCAACGTGTGTTGAAATTTCTCTTCAAAGCGTTTTCCTTTGGTCTTGGGAAGCCTTGAGTGACTCCTTTCGACAGATGGGTAATATGGGCGTTGTCCAAGAATTCAACCGAAACGAAATCTCAATTCTCTCGTCTAGACCAGCCAAGGTGCCAAATTCGTGCGGGCTGCAGCCTGAGGGACTTTTGATGCCTGGTTTTGGGCGCCGCAGCGCCTCGTCGCTAAAAGCCATTATGAAATCTCTTTTTTTTTTTACGAAGCTTTTGATGATTGATCTCTCCTCTGTGTCGGGGTCATGCCGGATGAGAACTTCAACTCTTTGCCATTTGTATGAAATCTCGGTCTCGTTCATATTCTTGGTTTCTGCCCACACCTTCTCTTTTGGGTTTCCCTTTTGTTTTTCTTCATTTCCGGTATGTAAGAACTTTTGGAAAACATGGTCTTGCGGCCTGAATGGAGCTTGGGCAGTGATAAGAGGGATTCAAGAATGAGAACAGGTGGATTCATGTTCACTGCCATAATGAATGGTGTGGTCAAGTCTACCTTATCAACAATGCTTTTTGCTGTGATCATGTGATGATGTGCAATTAGATGGGTAGTATTGGGTACAAGGAGGTTAGGGGCTATCAGGCAGCGCGCTACCCCGCTCTTTTTTTTTTTTTGACAGAAGGACATGACTCCTAGGAATGATAGGAGCCTATTAGGAACCGCCGAGACTTGGCTTTGTTTTCTATATGGCTGTCTCACGCTCTCAAACACCATCCGCAAAGCGATCAGCAAAGCCATCAGCAACACCGCCGTAGACACATTCAGTGACACATTCATCAACAATATCTGCAAAGCTGTCAGCAATGCCATCAGCGAAAGACTCTGAACAGACTCAACAACGCATCCAGCGACACCATCAGGAATGCCATCACCGACACCACACACACCAGTCACACCTACAGCAGTAGGCAAGACGACAACAGAAGTAGCAGCAACAACAATAGTCAGTCAGAGCAACGGAATTGGAAATAGTGGGGGGGCAAGAAGGAGATCGCATCGCAGACCTCAACAGTTGGCCGCCTTCCCTGCAGCAGCGCATCAACACTCCGATCAGTCTGCACAGACACGAAAGGATAACGAAATCCAAGGGAAGAAGGGAGTAAATAACAACAGAATATGGCAGCACAATCATGTCAATTTTTTTTTTTTTTTTTTTTTTTTTTTTTTTTTAAGAATCATGTCAACTAACTGTGAGAAAATATGTAATTTGCAGGAAAAGATTTGTAATTTTCGAGTAAATTTCGGTGAAATGAACTAACGCTGGACCACAAGCAAGCAAATAAGAAGTACCAATGGTTGAGCACATGCCCAAACACAAACCAAGTCATTCTTTGTCCTGACTCCTTTTTTTTATTTTTTTTATTTTTTTATGTCCTGACTCCTCATAGGTCATCTAAAGAGTACCAAAAAGCTTCCCTCAGAAAATCACCTCAGCTCTCCATGGATTGAACAAAGAGGTGCCTTGAGAGAACAAAAGTAACTAGCATAGCAACACAGAGTCTGTGGACTGAAGGGTTTGTCATCAAAGGGAGTTGATTGCTTCCTCAAAAGCTTATGGTCTCTTCTCTCAGTTATGGCTGAGACCCTGAGGCAGCGGGAAATGACCGTTACGTAGCGGGAAATGCCCCTTACATAGCGTGAAATGCCCCTTACATAGCGGGAAATAGCGGGAAATGCACCTTAAATAATTTTACTCACCGGACTCTTCTCTCGGTTATGGCTGAGACCTTGAGACAACGGTGTTGATTGCTTCCTCAAAAGGGAGGGGGGTGTCTCCAGTGCCTAACCTCTGAGATGCTCCTCTCAATCTTATTCATTGTCCGTTAAGATCTAGAGTTGTTGTATCTATAGATTCTAGATGGTTGGAAGCCCCGCTTGTGTGGCGATCCTTCCCTTTGTGCCAATTGACTCCCAAGTCTTACACCAATTCTGCATCTTGCACCTTTTTAAACTGCCAGTACATCGCCCATGCAAACTTGCGCATTGAAATCCAGCCAATCCGAAAATTTCAGGGCACGGGGCTACCGGACCACAATGACTGGCGGCGCCAGCCAAAAAACAAGAAAAGCGTGCTGCTCGAGGTTCAGCAAAGCTTGGTGCGCACTGCAAATCCGCCACGGCAAAAAGAGCGTCGGATGCATCGGTCCTTTGAGGGGTCTAGTTCCTCGTCCACTTGTGCTGCAGTTCTTCTCCATTCCACCCTTATTCCTGCTTCCATAATTTCCTTGGCTTCTCTCCACGAATCTTCACTCACTGTTTTACTTTTCTCCTGCTGTCTTTGTGCATCGTGCTCTCCATATCACCCAAAGTACCGTTCTTCTGATCAAGTCTATGATGCTCCGTTGCTTATCTGCTGCTTATCTGCTACTACCCCTTCTCTGTATCGTCACGATGAGTAGGAAGAAGGGTTCTCTTACGAAAGTTGAATCTGGTCGCCCTGACAACCCAATTCATGGCCTTTTCCCATATATTTTTCATACGAGGCCATTCAATCAAGGAATGAATCAGGGTTTCAGAGTCTCCTTTGGACTCATCTCGCATAGCAGTGGTGCTTCCGTTCCCTGGTGCTCCTTCCTCCATATCTCCAGTCATTCATTCACTGGGAGTGAATAGCAAAGGATCAGCCAATGGAGGCTGCTGATTCTCTGTGGTCTGCTGCCGTTCAGTACACCCCCCAGGTTCATTCCAGAGTGCTTGGCCCATCTATTTGCGACCGCTTTCTGTGGGTCCTTAACCTTATCTCTTATTTTGTAGCCTATCTTCACCTGGTTGTCTGATGACTCTGATCATCTTACTTACTTCCTTTCTCCCGTCCTACTACCCCTTCTCTTCTGCTTTCCCGAGGCGGTGAATTAGGCGCGAAGCGGTGAAAGTCGCCAGCTTTCCTCTTTGAACCCATAACCTGTTGCCCACTTCCCGTGCCGCACCCTTGGGGACAACCCACTACTACTACGCCCTCGTTCCTCCTATCTTGTCGCATGTGCCCTTAGCGTGGCAGCGATGGCCTTCCTTCTCGCCCTGCTCTCCCTTGTTTGGTTCCTGCCCTGCTTTCCCTTCAAGTTGGATGCTTGACTTCGTGACTAGTTCGAATCGAGGGCATGCAAGTGTGACAATCCCTCCCGCAGCCCAGTGGCTCCTCAGACGAATTCCACGGGCCTGCGTTGGCGGTTACCCACAGCGCTTGTGCAAACAGCTCTCTCTCCCCTCTGCACGGAAACGTCTGGCACATGATAAGTTTCAGATCTGATCCATTTGCATGGGGATGAGTTCCCCTCACAAGACGTAGAGGCTTTGTTAGGTAAACATGAACAGGTTGCACCCCACCCGGTCCCCTGCTCTCTCTCTCTCTCTCTCTCTCTCTCTCTCTCTCTCTCTCTCTCTCTCTCTCTCTCCTGTCTCTTATACACATCTAGATGTGTATAAGAGACAGCCCCCCCTCCTCCCCCCGTGATGATGTCTGTGTGTGGAGGGAAGAGCGAGGGATAATCTTTTCTCTTTCCACCTTTTTCAGCTTGAAATGAGAATGAGGGCCCACGCTATCTGGGTCAGCTTGACCCATACAGACTTACAGACTGATAATACTCAGAACAGGACCTGCAATTAAGATCGCAAAATTTACTCCATTGGCAAGATTGATTCCAGCTCAGACAACTGAAGCACAATCTCTTTGCAAACTAATTTGAAGACGAGTGTCGTTATATGATACAGCTTCATACAAGATTGATTGACTATGGTGGCTAAAAAGCCGTTGTCAAACATGGGTATCTTTTACTATCTTCTTTTTTTTGGCGAGCGGCTGGTTAAATACAAAGGCCCTCCAGGGCCTCAAATTCCCATTTTGTAATAATTAAAAGTTACAGAGGTACAGTCAATCCTCCACGACAGGGTTCCTTCAGCCAGATGGAAGGAAGGGTATGTGGGTTCATGATGTAATATTTATTCTGACTTGCCGGTGGAATAGGAACCGGACTGATGAAAAAAAAAAAAAAAAAAAAAAAAGGAACCGGACTGATGCTCCCCAGAATGGAAATGGAGCCAGGAGTCTGCCAGGACCATAAGGACCTGTTTTTTGTGAAAAAAAAAAAAAAAAAAAGGTTAGGAGGTATGCATACAATGCATACACTCCAGGAATACCTCAGGATAAACACACATGCAAACGACTTCAAATAAAAAAGGCGAAAGCATGAAAAACTCTCTTCTGTTCAAATCGGAGTTATGGGGCGCAGCAATTAATTTCCAAGTTGGAATAGCTATGTAGTATGTACCTGATGAGTGACCCAGTAATTTCTCTCTCTCATTTCTATGAGAAGAGGGAAAGTTGGTGGACCTTTACGCTCCAGAACACTCTTCTGCGTGCCTCTGATGCGGGCCTCGTCGTCTCCTAACGTAACCGTGTGAATTCCACCCACCTGTGCATACACCACAAAACAGAGTCCAGAAAGGAAACAAAGTTTAACAAACACAACAAGTTAGGAAGCGATCACAAATTACTAAATTAGTAAATTACCAGAACAGAAAAATGTGCAGTAAATGGCAGCCAAACCCCTGGCTTCAGCTTCAGCTCTCGTCGTGGTACATATGAGTGCTGCATTCCTTCAATTTCTCAAACGCATGTATTATCTTGCAAAGGGACGCTGGACCCGTTTTCCAGCAGGTGATGCTCCCCACCAATAGATGGAGCATTTTTTTCGAAAAAACAAAAATGTAATGACCTGCCAAAATCGGACTGAGACACACAGCTGATTTCTGAGTTTTGCTCATGGAATGTATGCCTTGCTGAGTTTCCCGCCTGTTGCTGAGTTTTCTAAGTCCGTGTGTGTGCGTGCTTGCTGGTCTGAATGATTGTCTGAGGGCTTGTCGACTTGAGTGTGTGTGTGACCCGCAAGGGCACTTGTTCGTTCAGAAGGCCCGAAGGGCTGGTACTTGCCTGTGGCCGTGACATTGAGGGTTGCAGCGGGGAAAACACTCAAAGTGGCGGGGAAAGAGGCCCACGACACTTAGAACAGCGGAAAACACTCAAGTAGCAGGTAGGCCATTACCACACCAAGTAGAGGTAGATGTGCCGGGTACTCGAGGTCAAGCAGAAGAAGACAAGAGTTGGCATTTCTTGAGGCCCAGTAGTTGTAGGCTAGGCCTAGGCGGGTACCAGTCCAACCAGTCTGAGTCTAGGGCCTGAACGGGCAGTATCAGAGTCTGCAATGATGTTTCCCTGCGGAAGGGAGGAGGCACCCGTTGCGTGGAGGTCGCGTGGCCTAGGAAGTCACTCGCCAAGAGGCAAGCAGGCCGCTATATCTCCAGGAGGAGCAAAGTGCTCCTCGTCATTGTCGGTGTGCAAGTTTTGCGACACACTGGTTGGAGCGCTGGCTGGAGCAGCACTAGCACAGAGCTGCGCTGCTGCGGCAGGAGCAAGGACAGCAGGAGGAGGGAGACAAGGACTAGGAGGGGAGCGCCAGAGGTACTTACCTGGCTATGGTGGATGCCATCTTCATCACCTTGGTGGGCGCTGCATCTGGAAGGCCCCAGTTGGGGTAGAGCTACACCAAGAAGCTTTGAGGCAGAGTCAGGCATGGCGGCCTGAGCTAGAGCAGCCATAGCTGCTTTGTGTTGTCCTTTGCACCGCAGGGCAGTGCCCTGGTAGTCCGCCATAGCCTCGGCTGTGGAAGGAGGAGGAAGAAGAGTGGCCATGGCTATGGTGGACCTCATGTGATGCCTGCAGTAGAAGAGGGATTCGAACATTGATTCTGGTTCAGCCATTCAACATTATTATTATTATTATTTCTTGTTTGAATAAGAGGGGAGGAGATAAGGAGGAGGAGAGTGGTTGGCGAAGAAGAAGAGCATTATCATTGGTCTCTATGCTGGTGTACATCATCTTCTTCTTCCTTCTTCCTTCTTTCTTCTTCTTCTTCTTCTTCTTCTTCTTCTTCTTCTTCTTCTTCTTCTTCTTCTTTCCCTCTCTCTCCTCTCAAGTTCATTCATTTTTCTTTGCAATTGGACGGCATTGTACTTTCTGATGAATGTGTACTTCCAAATTGGCCAGGATCAAAAAAAAAAAAAAAAAAAAAAAAAGGCTTCAGCTACAAACCTGTCACCAATGTAACATACAAATCGGAGAAGGATGGACAGTTGAATCAGCTTGAACGGCACACCCATAAGAATGATGATAGTCAATCACATTGGAATGTCTTGTGCAATAGATGGGGAGGAGTTGCAACATTCAGTTTGCAATCAAACTGTTTGTAAGCAGTTCTGCTCTTTTTTTCCCCCTCCTATCATCCTATGTCATTTGAGCACAAGGCAGAAGAACAATGTTGGAGCTGACATGCTCTTCATCCATCTGTCTCCACATGCATTGCATCCCTTTTTTGTGATTTTTTTTTTTTTTTTCTTTTAACAACACCCCCTACAGTGCTAGTGCTGCTGGTAAAAGCAGGCAGCACTAGCACCGGGGGAGAGGCTCCATCTATTGGTGGGGAGCATCACCTACTGGAAAACGGGTCCAGCGTCCCTTACACAGAACGAATTAGGAAAATGTATAACTGAGAAAGACATGTAAACATTGTAAAGCCTCAGATTGGGTGATTTACTTCATCAGATTACTGTGTGGTTTGAGGATTTTTTTTCTTTACTTTCTTAGTACTATTTTGGCCTTCGGAATGGGGTAGCGCCAGAGATGATGGAACTGTGGGATTTTTTAATGGTTGGCCTGCAGATCAACAGCTTGAGGTGCGTACAATTCACCCACCAGCGCCGGCCCAGCGGCCTGTCAAACTCTAGCAGCCTTGCTGAACTTCCCTCCCAACGTGGTGGCTATGCTTCTTACTCCTCGTAAACAAGGGCGCCCCAAGTGACAGGGAAATAGTACCCGGGGTGGCATGCAACCTTGGGGAGGGCTACTTGGTTGATCTGTGACTGGGTACACCGGTTCGTGGTGGTATGTGATGGACTAACCATGCTGAGGTGGGCAGAAATTCGTATCTGTGAGCTTAAGTTTCATCCCAGCTCACTTTGCCTTGTGGTAGGTGTTCTGATTTTCAATCAGCAGGTTGCAAGTTCGATACCTGGAAAGAATAATTGATTTGCGATTTTCACAAATGTTGGATTTCACGCTTGGAGGCAATGAGTTTACAGAATTTCATTATACGTTTAAAAATCGAGTCGGATCATCTGCATTTTCAAACTTATTACATGCTAAACACTAAAAAAGACAAGCAGCGAGCACCTGTTGGCATCTTGTGTTCTCGCCAAAGGTAACCGGACGGACATCTGGACCGGGATCCAACGGTTCGGCTGTCTGGGTCCGCGTCCGGGGTCTGGTCCGGTAGGTCTGGAAAGCCCCCCCTTTTTGAAAAATCGAACTTTCTTTGGGGGGCAGCTAGGAGGTTTTTCAGGTCCTAGGCCACCCCTTCGCCCGTTAGAGACCGCTGTCGACGTTGTGTTCAGAATCAGTATCCCTCGTGCCCGAAGGAAAAAAACGCCCAAACACTTCTGTGAGCTGCGGCCTGCATTGGAGTAGGTGTCCTCACCCGCCGATGCTCTCATCGCCCGCAAGGAGAGTGCCCACCATCGCCCGCCAAGGAGAGTGCCCATCAATTCTTTCTCTCTCTCTCTCTCTCTCTCTCTCTCCTGTCTCTTATACACATCTAGATGTGTATAAGAGACAGCTTCTGCAAGGACGGATGGAGTTGAGGGCGACCGATGGTGGGAGTCGAAGGTTGAGGGATGGCATCCAGGAGGAGGATGGTCGAAGGTCCAGGGGAGGGCGAGGAGGAGTGTCAAAGGCAAAGGGGTGGGCAATGTCTCTCTCTCTCTCTCTCTCTCTCTCTCTCTCTCTCTCTCTCTCTCTCTCTCTCTCTCCATTCACAAGGTTTTTTGTTTCTTTTTTTTTGCTGCTTTCTTGCTAATCTTCAACAAGGAGGAATTGATTGGAGGACGAGCAGAACATGGAGGGAACATCACGAAGGTAACGTGGAGGGAGGAGGAGAACATGGAAGGAGGAGAAGATCGTGAACGACGTGAAGGGAGGAGGACATAACATGGAGGGAGGAGGTAACAAGGAGGAGGCAATGAGGAGGGAGGAGGGCATAACGAGGGAACATCGTGGAGGTAACGTGGAGGGAGCAGGAGAACATGGAGGGAGGACGAGATCGTGAAGGGAGGAGGGCATAGCATGGAGAGAGGGAGGTATCGTGGCGAGAGGAGTAACGTGGAGGGAGGAGGAGGTAACATGGAGGAGGCAATGAGGACGGAGGAGGTAACGAGGAGACAATGCAGTGGAGGTAACAAGGCGGCAGGTAATGAGAAGGCAGGTAATGGGGCGGGAGGTGACGAGAAGTGGAGGTAACGAGGGGGCAGGTCATCATACTATTATGCGCTGTCTTTTTTTTCTTTTTTTTTTACCAGCGCGGATATTTTTGGGGTCCGGGGAACCGGCCCGGACGGTCTGGGTCCGGTCCTGTCCGGTGGTCTGGTACCTGTTCAGATTAGCGGACGTCTGGACCGGTCCATAAAAATGTCTGGGCGTCTGTCCGGACATGTCCGGGTCCGGGTCCACGGTTACCATGGTTCTCGCATCCTGCCTCCAAATTGCTTCCAAATTCCAAACTTTTGTTTGTTGGATAGCATCTATGTGCCTGATCCGGAAGAGAGATCGATTTAATTAAAAGAGACTGGGCTTGTTTGATTCACTCAAGGGGAGTCAAAGGGATATCCTGTCTTTCCTTTACAATGGTGTTTTTTTTTTTTTTTTTTTTTTTTTTTTTTTTTCAATGGTTAGATTTCTCTGTGGCTAAGACTTTCCTTTCCAGGAAGCGTGACGGTGTCCTTATTGTAATTCTTATTAAAAAAAAAAAAAAAAAACAGAGCCTCTTGGTTCTGGCTCCTACCATTCTGGGGAGCGACAGTCACCTTATTGTAATTCTGAGTCTTTCTGACTTGCCGGCGGAAAAGGAACCAGATTGTAGCTCCCCAGAATGAATACGGAGCCAGGTCCATAAGGACCTGTTTTTCTTTTTCTAATAATTAGAAAAAGGAATTTCCTTCCTCTTCCAGGTTGCAGGGAATGGTGCTAGAATAAAAAAGAAGAGGAGTACGAAGAACAGAAGAAACAATGCTCTGGGGAAGACAATCTAAACAGGACCCAATGTATGTGCCTCAAAATTAGACACGTGTAACTGTTTTATCGACAGGTCACTGGGTTCAAATCCTGATGATGATCACAACAATGCTAGGGGCTAACCCCTTAAATCCAAAAATAGGAAACCTACCAGGCACCTCCCAAGTTGCAATGACAAGAACGAATAGACCTTGTCGAAAGTTCTCGAAAACTTTCTTTGGCAATTTGCTTTAAACCACCAGTACATGCCGTATATCGGCCATGGGCCCCTTTCGGAGGCGGCCCGACTTTGATGTGTTTTATCAACGGCGTGCGAGCCTCCAAATTTTTTTGGAGAGGCTCAATCGGATTCTCAACTTGGCTGGGGCCAGATACTGGTGGTGTAAACCACCAGTACTGCCCAGCTATCGGCCGCGGAAAAAAATAAGAGTAGAAACATTTCTAGTCGGATGAATTTGGACGCTCCTGTAGTAGCCCGTACGTTTCCTAAAATCGTGGCACGTTAACGGGCACGACTCTAGGAACTACTGGTGCTTTAAGCAGGAGAAGCTTGATGCCAAACACCACAAACAGATGACATAGATTTGTGTTCCTGAGTATCACCTTCTCCAGCTATTATTACGGTAGTTATGGGTAATATTACCCCAGTTTTGTTCGGAAATTGCTCCAATGAATCCAATCCGACTTCATCCATAAATACTGAATGCTAAATAGTGATCGGTTTTAAGGATTCAACTGTTTTAACATTCATCATAGCCACCATAATACCTTCGACAGCGTCTATACAGACTCTACAGTGATCAGGACCAGCATTTTCCATTGGCCAATCTGGATCAATGATTCTATTGCCACCAGCAGTCACTGTTTCCAAATATAGTGATAAAAAGTTAAGCACAGGAAGGCTTCTGGTGTCCCGGGTGCAATGGCGAGAAGCTTGCACATTTTATTATTTTCTTCTCTCCTACCTTGCTGGTGGACAAGGGACCACAAGTTATATTCTCTTTTTCTCTTCAGGGGGGATCGGGGGAGTGCAGGCAGGGGCATGGGGGGAAGAAAAAACAGGGAGGCATCACTAATACCCCCCCAGTTTGGGAAGAGACTCCAGGCAAGGGGTACATAAGTCAAGGGAGGTTATCAGAAGGGACAAGCCTTTCGATCGAAAACGCACAAGATCAGACAAAGTTGGATTCTTGATCAGGTTCTCCAGAAACTGGCCATGGGCTGTTCCAATAAGCTGGACACCGCGTTCAGCAATGGTTCGACAAGCCAGCGCCTCTTCCTCCGTCCCAATCTCGTCCACAATAACGACCTGCGGCATATGGTTCTCCACTGCCTCCACCATTACACGATGCTGCCTGGACGGATCGGCCACCTGCATACGTCTTGCAGAACCGATTGCTGGATGCGGCACATCTCCATCACCGCCAATCTCGTTGCTGGTGTCCACAATCACCTGCCGAAAGTTTCGTTGACACAATCCACAAAACAGTGAAAACACACACCTTGATATTTATGATTTATCATGTATCGCACTGCCATCATCAGATGATGATAATTTCAACAACGATGCATACACGAAAGACTTCATTGTAAGCCTCTATTGTGATCCCACTGGAATCCTACTTAATCCACAGGAGGACGGGTTGGTGCCCATTAGCTTCGGCTGGTGTGCAAATTTGTCTTCATTGTATGGTGGCTATGTCTACTTTGATTGTGCATGTGTGTGACCGGGTACTCCGGATCATGGGGAAAAACGAGTACCCGTGTTGGGGTGGGTTAAGTGCTCATCTTGGGGCTTAACTTTCACCTCGGTCCACTTTACCGTTTGGTTGAGTGTTTGCCTCCGGATAGGGAGGTCACGTGTTCGATCCTTGGACAGTGCGGACTTATAAAAAATGTATTTACAAATGGTGCTCCTAAAGAAAATAAGCCAGCAACAATCAAGCAAAGAGAAGGGGTTCGGGAGGCGCCGCCCTTGTTAGCGGGGCTGGCAGACGATTGTCATCGGGCATGGCTATCAGAGTGAAAGGACATGATGAATGCATGGGGAAAGAGAGAAATCCCTAGCTAATGAACTGCTGAAGTTACTAAATAATATGGTAGTAGAATTAGACTCGTTAGAATCATCCATTAAACCGCCAGTACGTTCCTCATATATCGGCCCGCGGGCGCTGCGCGCCAAGTGCGACCGATGGATGTGGTCGGCGCTGGAGGCCGAATCGGGCCTCCGTGTTAACCGCCGCACCCCCAATCCCAAGCGGGGAAAGGTACTGGTGGTTAAACAGAACAGCCCCATCTATTCTGTGGGGGCAGCAGTCCGGTTACTTATCCCCAGCAACAGCGGCAAGCCGATACAGAGTTTTGAAGTGAAGGTGGGAGAAGAAAGAAGATCAGCCACAACCCCTGCCACACGCAGACACTTTGCAGTGGGGACTAGAGGGGCCGCTTCCATAGTCTACATCATGTGATCCACTGTTCTATCACCATCAATCGCAAATTCCCTCCACACAGCTTCTGATCATCAGGCCAGACTGTATCCCTGTTCTCCCCCCCC